TTTCAAAGTTATGGTGCACTGACAAAGTGCAATTCAATGGACGGATCAACACACAAATTCATAGAAAAAAATGGAGAAGGTTGTGTTAAAAAGTATTATAGCCGTGAAGTTTTAGATTCCTTTTAGTTAAGAGCTAGTATGCTGAAAATATTGTGTTTTTTATATGTGACCAACCCTGTATTTAATCGCACCATAAAATTGTGTGGAATCATCAAAATTATTTTATTAAAAATGCCAGACGAGGTTTTGACGAGAGTACTTTGTTACTATCAAGAATCAGATTACAGTAGTAAAACTGAGAAGCAAGCCGTCTCATGAAACAGGTTAGAATTGTATTAATTAACAAGAGGTCGTCCTTTTGTTGCTTTCATTCTCGGGTAATTAAATTTCATCAGTCATTTGGTATGTGCAAGCACAGCGTCTTGAGAATTTAGAGAGAGATTATTATGATTTTCTTGCACCATTGTATTTTTCCCAAACGCCGGACGACAAAAGCACTGAAAATTGAAAAAAACAAACGTTATTCACTAATTTTACTTGAAAAAAATAACTCACATTAAATTTAACAGACGTTCAAAATTGTAGAACGATTTCGAAGACTTACTGAGTTATTTAGTCAGATAATATTACATACAGTTTTTAGCCGAACACACTAATTTTCTAATTTTAAGTTATCAAAGAAGATTCCAACCAGATGGGGGATAAGCCCAATCTTTTCATACCAGTACGACAAAAACATATTCATCTTAAAGAATTGTATAACCTAAAAAAAGAACTGAGAAACCATCGTTCTGCAATTAGTAAAGTTTTCTAAAAAAGAATTAATCTTTAATACAGTAACAACGAACGATGAACATCTCTTGGCAATGCTACCAGACAGCACAGAAACCGAGCAGCGAAGGCTTTTTTTTATGGAATCGAAATTAAATGTAGACCCCCTCTCCTTGATCACTTTCACGAGGTCGTCTTGTGAATTGGCTAGTGCGTAACGTGGCTAACTGCGTGTAGCAATGCGTAGTGTGTGAAATGAGGAATGGGAGGGGGATTGGATCACCTTTCACAAGGCCCGTCTTTGTGATTTGCGCGTAACATGGCGTAACATCGGCTATATGCGTAGGTGGTGGGAAATAGGAATGGGAGGCGGGTATGAGAGAGGAGGTTGGACAGAGCCTTGGCTCCTATAAAAGCCTCGTAATGTGTTTTTCGGAACATAGTTGTATCGAGCAACTTCACAGACTATTGTCACAACTAGCAATTTGATTTGAAAAACGCTGTCAGTCTGTGAATATGGAGTCTGTATCTCATGTTGAATCTATACGTGAAACAGAAGACGCCATACGCCAGTTAGAAGAATGTTTTAAACTTCAACAACAAACAGCTGAAGAGAGTATTTCTTCCGACTCCGACAGTTCTTCGTCTTCGTCAGATAGAGAGTCTGATGATAACACACCACTAGAAGCTCCTGAAACACCACTGGATAGTCGTCGTGATGAAGAGGCGCCTGAAACGCTGTTAGATGAAACAGTGATCGAAGATCCTGAAACGCTGCTGGAGGTGCACGAAACATCTCTCGATGAAACGCTGCTGGAGGTACGTGACTCACCACGGGAGGTTTTTAACGAAAATTGTGATTCACAGGATTTGAAATGTAAACGAAAATCAAACACTAAAAAAGTAGCTATAAAAAAAAGGAAACATTTAGAAAGAGAAGGACCTATAACATTAGACTTACTGAAAAATATTAGAAAAAACATTAAAAATATTGACAAACCTACTAATCACTATGAGGAAGAATTGTTAAAATTACTTTATAATCAATTTAAAAATCAAATTAATAATAAATTAACACAATATATTATTAATCATTATACTTTTTCATATGCTTTTATTGCAATATCATTTATTATTAAGAAATATTACCTTAGTTAAAAAAATAATGATTTATTTGGTATATTAGTAAATATTATTTCAAAATTTATTGAATTTGGAAACTCTAAAGAATACACAGACATGATCCTAAAAATTCATTCAGTTAGAAATTTGTTAACACCACAGCAAATTGGATCATTAACAAGGATTTTTATGATTACTTTCGAAACGGGGAATAAACTAAAAATGATATAGACATGCTCATTAATGTTGTGAACGCGGCATGGATTTTGTTCAAATGAGAACAAAATTTAAAAATGTGCATGGATTCTCAAACAATTAAACCATTATCAGTAAACAACTAGCAAGAATATAATAATTATATAATAAAAATTGTTCAAAATGTAATTCTATTTAGCCTAATAACACGGCTATTTGATCTTTTTAATTAATTTTTTTTTCAAAATCAACGAAGAGCTTCATGATATAAAAAAGGAAATCTAAAAAAAATTTTGAAAAATCTGAACTAACGAAAAAGGATTTAAAGATATATATTTTAGATTTTAGGAAGAAATTATAAATATTAACTATATATATTTCATAATCTGAAATAATACATTTTCGTCAAAAAAAAGAAATTTAAAAAAACCTTAATTTAATTTACGGTTTAAGGGATAACGTTTATATTACAATATATTTTTAAATTAAAGAACATTTTTAATACTAGAGAGAGAAATATATTAAATATTAAATTGAATAATTATATTATAAATTTAGTATAGGAAATCTTTTTTGTGTATTTAAATATATAATAGAAAATATTGAAGTGAATTAAAAAATATTTAACAATATTCTCTTTCACAGATAATTATAATATCTAAGTATATAAATGAGAAAAAGATATTATTAATATTAACCTGGGAAAAAAATGTAAGAATTTAAAAATTCCAATAAAATAATTTTTGTACTTATTACTCTTATGGTATCTGTGCAATTTTGTGTGGTACTATTTAGATTTTGTATGTACAATGGATATGTGCTCCGTAAATCCCCTTGAAAATTCAAAGAATTTCAAATTATGTTTCCAAAGTGAACGAAAAAAAGAGAAAATTAAAATTAATGGAAAACAATTAATGAATTACAATTTTGGGTTTTCATAAATTATATACGATATTGTATAAAATTGCTGATGATGGTAGGTAAATGTATAAATTATATATTACTCATATATCGTACATAAATTTATTAAAGCCATCATTTATAATATTAACTGGGTGGGAAAAACGTTAGAATTAAAAATTCCTAAGTAAAGTATTTGTTTTATTATTTATTATCTGTCAATTTTGGTGTCTTCACTTCGCTACAATATACGCCGCAGAAATGTGCTCAGTTATAAGGCGACTTGATGAATGAATTCTCAATTCTTTCTACACCAGAAGATCATTCTTACAATTCATCGAGTCGCTCATCACAAAAATTCATATATTATCTTTAAGTTGCGTAAGAATTACGCAAATTCGGCGCGGAGTGAGCTTGGCAGATTCTTTCGGATCTGCGGGCAGTTTTATTTCGTTTCTAGGGCCGCCCGAATGAAGGCGCTCGGAAACATTGAAGACAGACTCTGGGGTCGTTGGCTGGAGCAGTTGTAGTGGGCCCATGCCCGCAAGTGCCTGACGGAACACAATCGACGAGGGCAGAATACATGTAGCGACCACGCGCGGGCCGAAGCGCAAAAGCGGTTATGGTCCCCGAGCCGACGCCGCTGAACTCGCCCGGGTGAAGGTGCCGTCTGCGACCGCACCACTTCCAGACTGGGCTACGTTTCCCCATCGTCTTGCCACTGTTTCAACACGAAAGGTAAATGCGACTACAATGCTGAATTAAGGCAATTGTTTTGAAAAAGATGATTTGATAAAATCCTCAGTCTACGAATTTAGCGACGCTCAAAACATCACCATCGTCACGCTGTTAGACAAAATAACATTGGTGGAGTAGTGAATTGGAGTTCCTGTATACGTTGATTTCTATTCGTCGAACAGAAGCGCCATCGCGGATGAAGAATCGTTTTACAAACACAACCAGCAATTAATGAAGAGAGTATTTCTTCCGT